ACCTTCTGGTAACATTCATGTAGCTTGTTGTGCCACATGCCTAACGGAGACGGACTCCTCTAGTGCCAAAGCAAGGGGCCATTTAATTGAGATCGGGCTGTCACAGCTACCAGCAGGCCACCCTCTGGCCCCTTCATGGTCTCTGTGAGCACAGCCTTGAGATGCTGGGTCTTTTACATGAGCCAACCCAGGGCAGAGGTCTGCAACTCAGCCATTGTCAGCCCACGCAGGCCCAGGGTGCACTACTGTGCAAAGTACTTTACTTTTCCAACTGGTCCCCCTGGGCACAGCACCTAGGCTTCTTCCCTTCAGAAGCTTGCAATCCAATTACCTGCTTAAAACCAAACACTTCCCCCCTGTTCACCCCCTTCCCAAATACCCCCTGACCTTTCGTGAAGGACTGGGTTGTTTTGGGGGGGTTTTAAGTGTGCAATGGTTCTTTGATCTCCTGGGTGGAGAGGCAGCTCTTCCTGTCCTGGCATTGTGTCTTCCAACAACCTTCAAGGGTTTGCTGAAAAGTGGCTTATCCTAAGCCAGTTTTTCCTCCTGGCTTGGTTTTGCTTAAAGGTCCTAATTAACTAAACCCAGAGCTTCATCCAGTGAGCATCCCAACAGTGAGCTCATCAAGACTATTCATAGCTCCTTGCAGAGAAGCTTGATTAGAGATGGGTATGATTAATTGTGGACAGAGCTATACTGTGTGCTTGGCTTCACCTCACATGTCAGTTCGTCACCTGCATCCATTTCTGATCCAAGGGCATTTTACTGGCACTAGAGGATGGACCTCTGCACTCTCCTTTCTCTCTCCCTGGGCTGCAGCAGATTTTTCCTGCCCTCATCTCTTTTTGATCAAAAGTTTTTGATTAGCAGTAGTTTCAGGAAGGCAGCCTCTCTCTCTCTTTCTCTCCTCGTATTTTGAACACTGAGACACAATCGCAGCCATCCCTCTACTGCCAAATTGGTTACAGCGTCTCTTTGAGAGAGCTGCTCATGCAGCGCTTGGAAATCTTAGCTCAAAATCTTCCCCTCTCTGTGTGACCACAGCATAGACCTCTAGCTAGCATATGGTACTCCTGAGGGACACTCTTAGAGGACACTCACCCTAGGGTAACACCTTCCTGTACTTCCAGACTCCAAGACTCGCCGTGTTTCCAGCCAACATCCTATGCCCTAAAGCCCCTGTTGCCCTCTTCTCATGGCTCGGCCTGTTCCTCCATAACTTTATGTGCAGAATGCACAGTAGGTTCCTCCTTTGGCCAGTACCTAGTCACCAGGCTGCTCAACGACTCCTCTCTCCGCTCACATCAAGTCCTTTGCATTCTCAGCACATACCCTGACCTCAAACTCTTGCTCTTCCTGCTGCTCCGCATTCCTCTCAGGCACTCCGCAGAGCCATGTTCCTTTCAGTCAGACCCGTGTTTACACTGGACATAGTGGGAGGTGGTTAAATTAACAAACTTGAACTGGGGAATAGTTGTTTCTTTCTCCGATACAATCTCTCCCCCCACTCCCTTCCATCTGTCCCCGTGCAGCTCCATCTCGGAGGATGCATTCCACAAGCATTCCAGGCCGTGGAAGGATCCTCGCTGGGGAGAGCTATCCTAGGAAAACAGAGTTCAGGTTCTGAAAGGGATATGCCACAGACAGCGACTACAGGCACAGCCTTTCTAAGACCAGGCCTCCCACAGGCTCTGTTAGGGAGACATCGTGGGGTTTCACGCTCAATTCTTTCGGTAAGAGGATTAATTTACAGACACAAAAAGTCCATCCATGAATTGTGCTCATGGGGTCACCGGCTGACGAGTCAGACCCTGCCAGAGCGGAGACTCAGTGGAGCTTCTGGCCCATAGGAAAGTGTGTGGCCATGACAAATGAACAATGGTGTCTCTCAGTCGGACAAAGTTAGCTGCTTTGTGGCAACATCTGGTGCAAAATGGCCTTCAGGAGGTCTTGCTAAGCTCTGGGGGTTTTTTGGTCTTTTTTTTGGGGGGGGGGGGGGGGGGGGGGGGGGGGGGGGGGTTGGGGGCG